AGGTTCGCCAATCCTGAGAGGTTCGCCAATCCTGGGATGTTCACCAAATCTTGGAGGGGCGCATTACCTGAGAAGTTTGCCAATCCATGGAAGTGAGCCAATCCTGAGAGGTTTGCTGATCTTGAGAGGTTCGTGGAGCCTTGGAAGTACGCCAAATTGAAAAAATGCAGATTCTTGGAAGTGCGCTGATCCCGGGATGAGCGCCAATTTTTAGAAAAAGTGACTATAATTGGTAGGATTTGACAAAGTAGGAAGGAACGATGTAGAAAGCTGTAAAGTCGCCATGGACTCTGATACAGATGTTATATGGGTACGACAAACCCAAGGAGGAAATGGAGAACCCAGAAATAGTAAGGTAGCAGAAATGTCATGAGTGTCTTCAGGAGTCTGCTAACAGTGGAAGAGCAGCGAGGGTTGTCTCTGTGAGAAAGGTAGTCTCAGTAGATCATGAGATTATCCTTGCCAAGGGGTAAGGGTGTCCATAAATACGAAGCCGGGACCCAAGATAGATCACGACGCTGGTAATGGTAGTCATAGGAACGTGATCGATCCGGAAAGTGCGAGTCCGGATAACTAGAAGAGGAAGAAACAGCCAAATGAGACGATCTACCCAATGAATCTTCATAATGTCCATCCTCCATATCAAAACAAGAAGAATCTTAAGTTTCCCTGCACAAGTAGAAGATCAAACTCCCGATGAGTATTGTACGGTGAAGGTTCGACGAACCTTAGGAGACAAACGGTCTGAAGAATCACGCCGATCCTGTGAAGTGTGTAGCTTTCAGGATGTTCGCCAATCCTTAGAAGTTCATCAAACCTTCAAGGTTCGCCGTACCCTTGAGGTTTGACGTACCTTCGAGATTTGCCAATCAACTGATGTTCATCGATGCCGAGAGGTTCGCTGAACCTTAGTCGAAGGCTCAGTGCTTGATGCATGCAGACAAACCTTAGAGGTGTGTTGGTCTTCGCAGTATGGCCACTCTGGGAGATTCATTTGCTGATGTGAGGTGTGTACAGGTGAATTAATACAGCTGGAAACCTTTGTTTCAGACATGTTTCAAAACATCAAAAAGGATCAAAAGAAGAAAGAGCTATGCATTGTGTGACATAGGATAAGTTTAAAAAATATTAGTATCACAACTGATCATGAATAGTTGACAGTGAAGAGGATTTCTGTTGAAAATCTAAAGATTTTATCGAGTGATGACAGCCGAAATACAGGATTTCTCTCACTGATTTAATAGATATTTTGTATTTGTATAAATAATTTTCTGATGTGAAGTTAACATGATGTACAGCCTGCACAATGAGAATCTAGTCACATGGTTGATTTGTACTGTTTGCTCATATTCTTTTTTATTCATGAATTGTAATAAATTTATTACCAGTGTTACTTAAAAACATCAAAAGTATTTTTCAAACTGTGATACAAATCCCACTGGTCAAATTAACTCCATTTCATATACATTTTCAATAAACTTTAAATGCCATACAAGTGAAAATGTCAATTTTTTTGCTTTATAGCATAGCATTGTCTCTAATATTTATAGTTTGTACAAGATATTACAAAAATTAAGTAGTAACTAATACTTGTTAGTCAAAGAATATGTTTTAGACAGCTATGATTTTTCTACTTAAAATTTTAAATATGTCCATAAAGTATATCCTTCAGTGAAAGGCTACATTGTGCAACACATGATCCATGATTTATCAAATGAATAATCACCATAATTCAAAATTATCATCACCAAATACTCTGGTGCCCCAAATACTTTATATGTTTGGTTGGATACAAGTAAATTAGTATAAACAGAGACCATAAAAGAGAGGGACGGCCCTCTAGCCTATGCACGAAACCATCAGCACTACAGCTTTTACCGTGCAGCCTGGAAATTAGCGGAAATGCGTTCACTGTAGTCATCATTGTCACCTTTTTTTTCATGCAAAGGATATATTTCAAAATATATACTAACAGTCATCTATTACTTAACATTGTCAACATTACATCTGTGATTTGTTGGTACCCTAAAGCATATCGTTGTCCTGGTATTCGATGAATATGGTCATGCTTTGTCTTTGTCTGTGTGAACAAAATGGCACACATTTAAAATCAGAAAAAAGTGCAGATTGCAATTTTCAATACTAATTCGCACTGGAAGTCCTTGGTTACCGAGGTGTATAAAAAGCAGGTAAGTTAATAGTTAGTTTGTGCCGTTAACAAACCCTGGGGTGAACGCCAAATTTCTGATTTTGATTCCAGAAATGCGACTAAATATGAATTGTTCCAAAATAATTACACAACTTTTTTTCCACATGCTTTCAGAAAAACATTTTCCTATTGTCTGCCCTAAACTAATATTTTTACATTCATCATGATTTCCCCATTTGCTCGGTACCAACATTATTTAGGTACGATTGGTAGTTATTATTTTATGATGTTTGGCACAAACCCATATTTACGTGATATACTGATTTAAATTACCATATAGCAGACAACATAACATGCATATTGTCTGTGATTATGGTCGGTATATATCTTTTAAAACATTCAACAAAGTTTCTAAGTTTTATTGATATCAGAATTATTTTTCTTATATATGTACCGTATTCAACGTAATAAGCGCCCAGGGCGCTCTCAAAATTAGAAATAGGGGGCGCTTATTAGAATATTATTTTGAGTTGAAAGATCGTAAATTTCGTGGTTTATGCTAACAGCCTGAAATGTTTACATGCGACGGATGTATTTTTCCAGAATTTAATTGCCAATAATTAAGGGTGATATAACACACGAGTGCGTATTATACACGAATAAAAAAGTCCTGTGTACATTGATCAATCGGAAGGGGTGCTGATTGGGATTGTTCACTAGCCAATATATTAGCAAATATCGCCGTGGGCGCTTATTAGAGCGGGGCGCTTATTACGTCGAATACGGTATATATTTTTTACCATTGTTTTCGCCATCTCCTCGTAAATTTAACATACCTATTAACTTTGTTTCAGTTAGGGTTCTGTCACATAGCCCGCTGAAGAAAACTGTACATATGTTGTCATGATGATTATACTTGTTATCTTCTGCAGATTTGGACTTTATTAATCATTACTACAGTTAATTATTTTTTTATTTTATGCCGTGAAAATATAAATTATGAGGTATATGTTCTGGGCCTAAACACCATCATGATAATGTAAATATGATTAAAGTACGACTGACTCTGTGTATTTAGAAAACAATGAAATAATCATACAAAAATGTAAGTCCATTATATGAAATATCTGTATTATGAAATATGCTTGGTCAATGTCAAGAAAAAAGAAGGTTTACATCGGCAGTCATCAGATCTTCAAGAGAAGTTCAAGACAACAAGAAGGTGTCATTTAATAAAACATATAGATGGTCTATTGTCCTTTTCTATAATAAATACATCTACATATCAGAGTTTGTGATGTTTTATTTTGTTTTAATAGTAATAATTGCATGACTTGTCCCAGGTTAAAGTTTAAAGTTTGTATTTGATTGATCAGAAATAAACAGAAAACCATGGCAAAACAATTTAGAAAACTACAAATGTTACTACTGCCTACATAAAATATAAATTATATATCAGGTTCCATGCTTGTTGCAGCTATACTGTTAAATTATTTGTATGCTGAACAATTCAAACTAATCAGATAATATTAAAAAACGACAATAATATTTAATATTTAATAAATTACAATCGTACAATTTAAGTGTAGCCTCCCTTTGAAAAAAATGACTCCGGCAAATAGCATTATCACTGCTAGCCCCAAACTTGCATAACTCATAACACTTGATTTCATTGCAAAGCGCATTCTCGGTCACATCCAAAATTCATTTAACAAGACTCGTAGTTAAATATGAAATTTTAATTTATTGAAACTATTAGCATCATAAAATAGTAGCAATTTTACATGAGACGAAGACAAGATCCGTTGATTAATATAGTCATTTTTTCTGGCTAATAGTAAAGCATTTTCACCAGTCAATGGCCATGCATATTTGCAAGTAAATCTAGCCAGGATTTATTATATGATATTAATATCATCTGGAAATTTATTTGTGAACATTGGGAATATGCTGAACTGTTACAACTGTCTTGCTTGCGACGAGTTTTATTTACACTTAATGAGTTCCTGTGCAGTTTACCAGATTGTATATTTCTGTGGCGTTTGAGGTAACTTGGTTTATTTATAATAGTTACACATTTGCAGCGTAAAATAAGATAGATAGATTAACTGACTTTTTCTAATTAATAGAATAAATTACAAAACACTTTTGATATTGGATCGGTTATGCTTTTTCTTCACATGCCCTCAAAAACCTACAATCGTAGACAGCTGTCATATTTCCTTTTCCAATCTTTTTCTTTGAAGCTTTTTGGGAGATTTATCCGACAGCTTGGCTGCGGTAACATCACTGTCATTCTCTTCAGTACAACGGTCATCCGAAACCAACCCCTGATAGTAGTGTGGGAATCTTTCTCCAAGTGAAATATCTAGGTCCAAGACGAAATCGTCTTGGTGAATGAAGTCGTCCATGGCTGTGCCGAATATAAGTTGAAATAAATGTCCTGGGCTTGTTATTACACATATTTCTCTGGAAGACGCATATCTTCAGCAAATACTTTACAGCCAACTGACATGTGCTAATGAGAGATAAGATCAAGATTACTGTAATTGGCTAAGAGCCGTCCTTTTATTGGACTGTCATTGGTTGTGGTTGGAGAAATCTCAGCTAAGGGAATTAACTCTAGCCCCAGATATTATGTAATATTGTTTACATGGTTACAAGAATGGTAAGTTGTGAATGTCTGCGCATATATTGTGCATCTGCAGCGGTATTGGGAGGGTAACAGCAGGGTGTCCAGATGTACCAGTTACATGCCAGGCTGTAGCGCTGATGGCTTATGAGGTGGGAAGGGACAACCCTCTGTTTTATGGTCTCTGGTATAAACAAGTTACCGAAAATATTAACATACCAATTTTGTCCGAGTGTTGATACAATACATAACAGCATTTTCGACACTGCCCGATGATTCTTGTAATGCTCTTTTAGCTTCCACTGTAGATATAACACCGATATCATTCTGTTGGGATGCTTGGCTTGCATGAGCAACCCTTGAAATCACATCATCAATACATTTCTCCCAAATCTTCTTCAGCCAGTCAATGACTACCTTTGTGTCTTTTCCACACTGCTCAAGGGCAATATGGACTTCCTCAACACCGTACCCCTTTTGATCAGCTAACTGAAACATTAAGAAGAGATAATTAAAAGTCATGTATTAAAGAACAAATAGAAATCTAAAGATGCTATTGATAGATGTTTAGGCCCATTACACAAAAGATGTGATTTTCAAACATTATTGCAATGTCAGCCAATTGGGACAATTTGATTAAAGAAACATGCATTATTGGTGGTGGGGGGGGGGGGAAGGGGGAGAGGGAATGAGATATTGTTCAAAATTGATTTTTGTTTTTGTTTTTATTTTAGTAAATTCTGAGATATTAGGATTTGTTTATTCAAATTGGGAATAAAACTAATAAAACTAATCTTCAAACATTTAAGTGTAAAACAAAAGCTCATGCAGATTCATTTATACCAGCTACAACACAAGTTTGGAATACATTCCCAGAAAACAGGTTACGTCAAATTATTCACAGTCGCCTCAGGCTGGCTGCAGCGATCTTAACGTAGATCAGTATGACAGACATATTTTGGATACTAAAACTTGTTCCTGTGGATATCATACCGAAGGTGCTTTTTGTGTGTACAAATTACAATGTTCTTTTTACCAACATTGTTATTCTTTACAAACAAGTGCTATGTGGAAATTCACATTTGTGTAAGGAAGAGCAAATCCAAACATTAGATTCTATTCAAAACTTCATATTAAATACTGGCAGATTTTCAGTTAAGTAAATAAATTGTTTAACATAAACTGCAAATATATTTATTATATATACATCACTTGTTACATCTAACCTTCATTGATGTATTTATTGTATCATGTCTTACCGTATTCGACGTAATAAGCGCCCAGGGCGCTCTCAAAATTAGAAATAGGGGGCTCTTATTAGAATATTATTTTGGTGAAAAAAAAAACGGAGTTGAGAGATAAATTTCTTGGTTCATGCTGACAGCCTGATGTTTATGTATTAATTGCCCATAATTTAGGGTGCATATAACACGCGAGTGCGTATTATTCGCGAAAAAATAAGTCTTGTGTACATTGATCAATCGGAAGGGGTGCCAATTGGGATTGTTCACTAGCCAATATATTAGCAAATATCGCCGTGGGCGCTTATTAGAGCGGGGCGCTTATTACGTCGAATACGGTATGTGTAAAAAAGCAGTATTAACATAAGCACTTTGCTTGTTTACCAATCCATTTTCACATTTTTGTGAATATAAATAGAGGTTATCACGCGAGTGTGTTTGGGGATGGTAAATATCCTGCATTAGGAATAAACATTGTATTTAGCGAGCCTTGGCGAGCTAAATACATAGTGTTTATTCCTAATACAGGATATTACCATCCCCAAACACACAAGCGTGATAACCTCTTTATCATATAATGTCATTCTTTAATTCTGTGCTTAAAAATCGCTTTCCCTCTCTCACAAACATAACCGAAACATTGCGAGTTTTCCTGCAATGCGCGCATTATTATTTATTACGTCAGAGGGTAAGTGACGTGTCAGTCGGACAGTGACAGTAGCCAATATAGTTCCAACTGAAATCTGTTTCTTATACAGTGGCGAAGCAACATAAATGCAAAACAACAATTGTTTTTAATTGCCTTTTGCGGCAATCCATCGGTCTGTTCGCTAGAGTAACTGCCCTTTGTCAAAGGGAAGCTACTCTAACCCTAGTCTGAGACGTCACGGCCACGGTCAGACCTTGTTGACAGTCGGTCTGTCCTGTCATAACGTTAAGAAGTGTAGTCAGATGTATACACAGCGACAAAACGCAACAAGGTAACAATTCACTTATATTTCGGCCAAATCCAACTATTTTAATTTGTTGTGAAGGTTTCAAGCCGCAGAGGTCTACAAGCACAGATATGGCTACTGATCCCGCTTGGCTAGGCCTCGTGCCCTCGCAAAATTGTTTCGAAATTTATATCTCCAAAGTTGCCCAAACTTATAAAATGCCTTATCTACGTCACAGCTCGACACAGACTTTCAGTATATTAGACTGTTCTTTTGATAATGATAGCAATTATCCCTGTAGTTTATCCAGATTGCCGATGGTTAATTCTGACTCGATCCCCTGTTGACGAGGGCGACGCCATGTTTGTTTATAAACAGTGAAAGTAGTCCCTACTTGACCTTTGATATTTGCATCTCTATCCGCATATGACCCTAACGGATATCGTTTTTATCCGTTGGCTTTATCCTGCCGAGAAACCTACCCGTTATATGATAAATATGTTTATGTCAAATTGGGAATTTCTACTGTCATTTACTGCAGATTTGGGGCCAAATCCTTCAAGAAATAATGTTGCCATCATATTAAAAACTGACAATATCTGAACTGTCTCAAAAAGGCAGAAAAGTGAAATGATGGCCACAGACTGATGCTTACCTTTATCATCTGCAATAAATCAGCCCCATCAAGCTGTGTCTTTTTCATATGTCTTTGTTCATTGATGTTCTCCATTGTCTCTTGGAATGTGGATTGTCTACTTTGAAAACTGTGTTCACTGCTAACTTCCTCATGAATAGGATGTGACTGGTTTTGACTAACACAATCATTTATTGCTGACTTTTGATAATCAGATGCCTGTAGAGACACATTATTGCCAAGCATGCCTGTTTGAGAACTGTTCATGCTGCTGTTTGTTGACTGTTTTGTTGATTCTGACACTTGTTTCCCCATGGCACCCAGAAGTAACTTCTCTTCATACTGACGATGAGCTTCCTGCTTCTCCAGGTACACCTGTGACCCAAGAGAAGCAATGTGTAACGTCAATGTGTCATGTATAACAACAACCCAATATCAACACTAAGACAACAGCCATCAAACAATTACTCTCTGTACCTCATATAGTCATTGTTATCTTTTTTCGAGGATCATTCTATTCAAGGAAGACATGTCTTCAGTAATGATCTATCTAAAATTTGAATTTATTTTAGTGCATCCACATTTGTCAGATTTATGCATCCCATCCAGAAACTACTGTTTAATGGCAGCATTACCTCACCTTAGCTGGTTATTCAATTTTACTTGTCAGCTTGTTGATATGCTGCTGGTGCTCCAAACTTAAATTCCCTGAATGTTTCACACTTAATAAAAGTTACTGTCAGTATTCACATACTAGTAAAATCCTAGATACTTTTTATATTTGTATACTTATCCTGCATTACTTCTTAATGCATATTACTGCTTGTTTCTTGACAGAGAAAAGAGCTGTGTGAGGGTCTTTGCTTGAAGAAGTTGCTCCAACTAGCCGAGAGGCCAGCCCATCACGCAGTTCCCACGTGACCAAGGGAAGTGACGTCACGGATCCTCACATTACTCTGTAGTCCGAAAGGCATCGTGGGGAGGTAGATCTGCGATGGGCAGGTCCCTTTAGATGCAGAAATGCAGGATAAGTATACAAATATAAATAATATCTAGGATTTTACTGGATTTTTAACTTATCCTGCATTACTAATACATCTTTATCGGACGGAACCGGAGATGGGCATACCTTCAGATGGGGACTTCCATCTGATATTTCCAGACTCTGTTCCCTCAGCCCATCCTCGGCTGTGTGGTCGGCATCGGGTGACCACTCCATGTATAGGAAACTCCGTTTCCGTCAGCCCGTCTTCGGCTGTGGTCGGCCTGGATGACCATGACATGGATGGGAAGAGTCAGGTATGCGTTGTGTCCTAGTACTGCGCAGCCTGACAATAGCACTCGGTTAGTCCAGGGCTTACGCCAGGGGAGGTCGAAAGGCCGGCTCTGGACTTGGAGGCGTGGTCAATGACGTGTAGTAGTGGTGACCCGCTGGGCCACTACCAACGGACCAAAGCTGTGCGTGCCTTGCACATCCTCCAAAGCGACGTCTCGCAGGTAGTGACTGGCGAAGACCGTGTTGGATCGCCAGAAACATCCCTCCATGATTGCGCGTAGAGAGCAGTTGCTGTAAAGCGCCATGGTGGAGGCGACCGCCCGGATCTCATGCAGGTTGTTGGGAGTGTGGGGGGTTCAATCCCGCTGCCTCGTAGGCCTCGAGGATGATGGCTCATAGCCAGAGGGCGATCGTGTTGCAGCTGACTTCTGCTCGTGCGGTCGCAGATACCGGTACGAAGAAGCGTCGTCGTTGTCTATGGCGTTCCTTGGCTTGTCGGATGTAGCAACGAAGCGCTCTAACCGGACAAAGACGGAGCTCTAGTTCATCTTCCGCGCCCACAATCGATGAAAGATGGGGGATGAGGAACGATCTATCGGGCTGGCCTAGGAGCTGATTCTTTGCACAGGCTCCGTGTGCTCCCTGCTCAAAGCGGACCTGTGTGACATCTAGGGCATGTAGCTCACTGACACTGGCTGCTGTGGCGAGCGCCAGTAGGAAGACCGTGTTTTTCGTCAGGTTGTAGAATGACGACGTTTCGAGTAGCTCGAAAGGCGCATCTCTCAGCGAGGTGATAATGATGTTCAAGCCCCGAGCTGGTGTACGAGATTTCGCCTTTTGGTCTTCCAGCCTGAATGAGCGGAGCAGAGCCTGTAGCTCCGGGATTTACGTCATGCGCCGATCTTCCGAAACTGTCAGGACAGAGTTGAGCGACACAAAGTAGGTCATGATGGTACTGCCCTTGAGATGGAGCATGAACTCGGACAGGAATTGAGGCGATGCAGATGTGGGGTCTAGGTGCTTGCCCCTGCAAAAGCTCTCGAGGGATTGCCACTTGTCATCATAGAGGCGCCTGGTGGTTGGGTGATGTGCCATCCTGATGGCCCTAGCCGCTCTGGCCGAGTAGCCTTTGGCGTTCAGTGCTCTCTATAAATGGACCAGACGTGAAGGCATAACCGGTCTGGTCCTGAGTGTGGCTGTCTGCTGTGAGGGTGGATCAGCAGATTTGGCCAATCTGGGTGTGGCAGTGGGTTGACGTCGGACAGCTCTCTGAGGTCGACGAACCAAGCCCTCAGTGGCCACTAGGGCGTGACCAAAGTCAGATGGAGGTTCCGTGTCGATCTGATCTTCTGGACGACTTTGGGGAGGAGTACAGGTGGCGGAAAAACCCATGCTTTTAGTCCTTCCCAGGGGACACTGAAAGTGTCGACTGCCCAAGCCAGTGGATCTGGCACCGGAGATATGTAGGTCGTGGATCTGGTAGTTCTGGCTGGTGGCGATAGGTCTATGTTGGGGAGACCGTGAATTCGACAAACAAGAGCGAAGGCATCTGGGTGAAGTTTCCACTCTGTGGGAGACACTTTGCCTGGCCAAGAGAGGGCATCTGCTAGGATGTTTCGGCAGCCCGGGATGTGGTGGACCTGGAACTGAATCCCCAGATGATCCACCAGGTGAAACAATCGGAACGTCTGTTGAAGGAGCGAAGTCGAGTGAGTCGTTCCTTGGTTCCGAAGGCACCATATGACAGTGATGTTGTCCGTCGGGATGGAGAGCCGGGCGTGTCTGAGGGCCTGCTTCCAGTGAGTGAAGGCCAAGATAAGCACTTCCAGTTCGAGGTTGTTGATCACCATAGGTGCTGATAGGCGGACCACAGACCCGAGGTAACCTGTCCCTCCAGGTGTGTGCCCCATCACTGTAAGGTCGCGTCTACGAATAGGCGCAGAGAGGTCGTAAGTCCTGTCAAGGAGACACCGCCTAAGACATTCGATTCCACCGTCCACCACCGGGGATGCTGCTTGAGATGATCCGGGAGGACGATGGAACATCTGAACTGGGTGCATGTCTCCCACGTACTGGAGTGTCGACAACTTGGACGGCTGGGGGTGAAGTCCCAGTCGTGCTTGTCTGGCTATTCACTGGAAGTCCCTGCGGTCGTTGTTACCTCCGTTGGAGTGGCCGCGGCGGGACTGTTATGCGCCCGATGCCCTGCCTTTTCCTCTACCCCGAGAGGTTGAGGTGGTGCCGTGCCACTGGGGCTGGAGGGTGTTGCGTCGCAGCTTGTATGAGCCAGGCTGGGACGCCTCAGCAAAGGCTGGCTGTGACACCCTAGCCAGGGTCTTGAGAGCTGTCTCGTCTCGGGCGAAGGGATTGAGTCATTGTGTAGTGTTCTGTCAATAACCAAGAGACAACCTGCCAACTTCCCACTTCGTTTATTCATCAGACAACAAGTGACAATTGGTAGCCAAGCCCGAGCACGGATTGCACGGGCGTTACGTAACAACGTTTTCCGAACCACTGATAACATTACATGAACGACTTCTGTTTACCATCAGAATATATCAAACAAAACCTAACATTTTACACATTGATGTACAGCGACAGGCGTCTGGTCGAGTGGTTGCAGCGTTCATGCAAGCCAGTCTGTACAAATACACTGCACGAATCCCATAAGGTCGGTTGACCTGATTACGGTCAACGATGTTTACAGTCGTAGGTCTTGACACGTGACATGTATGTCGTCCTGCGCAGTAAACTGTAACCCAGTATGATGAGTGGACTAGTTCAAGCTCCACACAAGGCCAATCCCCTGTGAACCCTGTGGTTGATAGACCAGTGGTGTGTCCAAGTTCTGAGCAGGATCTGTGACGTTGCAGGTGTAAGGGCAAGTTGATCCCCATGATAAGAGTGACGACTGGTCCGGTGTTGAGAACGATGACCCAGTTGGGTACCCGGAAGCATATGACGATTCTGTTGATTAACAAATCTGTCATTGGGTTGTGATCGTCAACTGTGGTGCAGATAATATCTACCAGACGCCGTGGGTAGGGACATCTTTGAGAGTCCAGTTCGCTTTCTCCGAAGAAACGTTCAAACAACGTTGATAGACAAGGAGAATTGTCGGGAGATTTCCACGGAACTGTCACCACGAGATTAGGCGCTTCCAGGACCTTTGGGAGTGTTGGAGCGCCATTGTAGGGATGCCCATCAAGTGTCAATGTTGGAGCGCCGCTGTATGGACGCCAATCAAGTGTCCAGCGACCGCTCTGGTCTCGGTAGGTAGTAGGCCCTGGGGAGCTGATCTCATAGGCCTGTAGAATGACAGCAGGTAGCCACAAGGACATCGTGGAATGGCTAAACGCCTATCAACGCGGTTGTCCGGGGCGTGCGTCTGTAGAGGCGCACTTGGGAGAGGCGCAAGGATAGGCGCAACACGAGACGCCAGGATAGACGCCTTTATGGACGCTGTAGATGGTGCTTTTTTAAAGGCGTCTGTATAGGCGCCCCACGAGGCGCTGGCGTCTGTATCAGAGCTGTTTAAGGATAGGCGCTCTCCGTATAGGCGCTAGTAGAGGCGTCTGCAGAGACGCTATGGGAGGCGCTTCTGGAGGCGTCTGTAAAGGTGCTGGCGTCGACGGCTGTCTGGACTGTAAGTACTGAATGTACTGGAGGAGGGAGGTGTCTATCATGGGCGTCAGTGCCTTAGGCGTCCGACGAGGCACTGGCATCTGTATAGGCGTCCGACGAGGCGCTGGCGTCTGTATCAGAGCTGTTTAAGGATAGGCGCTATCTGTATAGGCGCTAGTAGAGACGTCTGCAGGGGCGCTATGGGAGACGCTTGTAGAGGCGTCTGTAAAGGCGCTAGCGTCGACGGCTGTCTGGCCTGTAAGTACTGAATGTACTGGAGGAGGGAGGCGTCTATCATGGGCGTCAGTGCCTTAGGCGTCCAACGAGGCATTGGCGTCTGTATAGGCGTCCGACGAGGCGCTGGCATCTGTATAGGCGTCCGACGAGGCGCTGGCGTCTGTATCAGAGCTGTTTAAGGATAGGTGCTATCTGTATAGGCGCTAGTAGAGGCGTCTGCAGGGGCGCTATGGGAGACGCTTTTAGAGGCGTCTGTAAAGGCGCTGGCGTCGACGGCTGTCTGGCCTGTAAGTACTGAATGTACTGGAGGAGGGAGGCGTCTATCATGGGCGTCAGTGCCTTAGGCATCCGACGAGGCACTGGCGTCTGTATAGGCACCCCAAGAGGCGCTGGCGTCTGTATCAGAGCTGTTTAAGGATAGGTGCTATCTGTATAGGCGCTAGTAGAGGCGTCTGTAAAGGCGCTGGCGTCGACGGCTGTCTGGACTGTAAGTACTGAATGTACTGGAGGAGGGAGGCGTCTATCATGGGCGTCAGTGCCTTAGGCGTCCGGCGAGGCACTGGCGTCTGTATAGGCGTCCGACGAGGCGCTGGCGTCTGTATAGGCGTCCGACGAGGCGCTGGCACCTGTATCAGAGCTGTTTAAGGATAGGCGCTATCTGTATAGGCGCTAGTAGAGGCGTCTGCAGGGGCGCTATGGGAGGCGCTTGTAGAGGCGCTAGCGTCGATCGCTGTCTGGCCTGTAAGTACTGAATGTACTGGAGGAGGGAGGCGTCTATCATGGGCGTCAGTGCCGTAGGCGGGGGCGCCTGTGGGAGACCAAGTGTCTGTGCCGTAGGCGGGGGCGCCTGTGGGAGACCGAGTGTCTGTCCGGAGGATAGTATAGGCGCCATCTGGTACGTGAACGCCACGCCGGGCGTTACGGTGGTCACCGCCATTAAGATAGACGCTGTCGTGGTTGTCAAAGTGCTCTGGGTAGAGGCTACAACCATGGGGTCTGACATCAAGGTAGCAGTTGAGGTCGGGGGGTGGTCATCCAAGATAGCCGATCTAGAAGGCGAGACCTCGGAGTAGTCGGATATCGTGCGCCGGTGTTTCCTGGCCTGCTGTGTTCTGCGTTTTTTACACACACGGAGGTATTGTCTGAAAGCTGTGGGTGAAAGCAGTAAACAGTCTTTACATCGGTGACCCTGGAGGCATTGAGATGTACAATTAAGGCACAGGGGGTGGGGATCCCTTGCCGACATATTACGCCGGCACTTTGAGCAGGAGGGCATGATATCTGCAACGAAGCAGTGTAAAATCACAATCGTCCCCGCCCGATTATGTAGGCTATAATTTGTTTATCCCACTATGTGGGTTCATGAAACAAATATTACGACAAACGTAAGACAACATACAACAAAACAAACAATGCTTGCGAGGATACGCCAATCGTGGGGTACCAAGCAAAAGAATATAGAACGCAAACCAGTTCACAAACTGCTGGCTACGCAAAATATTCAAGATGGCTACTTGGAGCAACAAGACACCTGGCCTTATGTTTTCTTTTGAGAAAACGCCAGTAAGTGTCTGATAACGTTATGCACATGTTTATCAAACATAGAATGTACAAAATACAAACCGTAGGCACAACACATAGACAAAACAACATTAACTCAGATAGCAAACACATGAGGGTTTGAATCAGTTTTATGTTACAGCAAAAAAAAACAGGTCTTCTCTCATCAAGTGACAAGAGTAATGTGTGGATCCGTGGTCACGTGGGAGCTGCGTGATGGGCTGGCCTCTCAGCTAGATGGAGCAACTTCTTCAAGCAAAGACCCTCACACAGCTCTTTTCTCTGTCAAGAAACAAGCAGTAATATGCATTAAGGAGTAATGCAGGGTAAGTACAAAATTATATTATTACTGAGGATGAAAACCAACACAAAATTCAATAGATCTGGACAAAACATGGTGAAATCAAAAGAGTGAGTATGTTTAATGTCTCATTGAACAGTATTCTTGTTATATCATTGCATGTCAGCATGATGTGGTCGGAAAGTCTGGAGTTATGCAGGTCTCAGATGTTTAACACTTAGGTGAAACTCACATGCACGGGTACGGTGCAGACAAACCTATAAACATCATCAGGGTGAACCGGGATTCAAACCCATGATCAAAAAGTTTCTGACTCACTGCTCAGTGAATTGCTGCGCCTTTGACAACTGGGCCACCTGTGATCCCACAATCAAAAGGAGAAACATGCATGCCAAATATCAATTTCCTGTCTGGAAATTTCAGAGATGATGTTTAAACAGAGCCAAAAATGCATTTTGAGAGAATCCATGAGCATTGTAAAAACACAAATTTAAAAGCAAGGTCCAAATATAAAATACTATGAAAAATAGAACACATGGGAATCCCATGACTAACTAAACATAAACAACCATATTTTACACGATAAAAAAGTCTTCACTAGCCTCTGACTGCAAATAAGTTTGTTTGTTTGTTTATTAACACCACTCCAAGCAATAGTCCAGCAGATTACACATGAATATTTCATTAAAACAATGTATTGAAGAATGCCACTTTTAATTGACAAATAAAACTTTGAGTGGTAAGGATAGTCTAAACAAGCTGGGTTTTTTTTTAAACTAATGTCTAAATTTTGGATACATTGATCTATAAACTTTGCCTATTCAAAAAGCCTTACATTGATATTACTTACTTTACATGGTTGTGTAATCATCCTCATACAACTGTAATTATGAGCCCCTTTAAAGCACAGTTAAATACACAAGTTACGGATAAGGCCTTCAGGATCAGGTTAGCAAAATGAAAAAAAAAGAGATTTACCTGGTCTTGTTCCTGTGCAATCTTTGTCCCAACCATGGGTATATTTGGAGATACAACAAAAGTTTCTTCACTCTCTTTTATTTCCTCAGTTGGGCAGATATCATGGACAAACACTGGGTTGTCACTTGTACGATGACACATGTCACATATCCTTGTGTTGCTGTCATTGAACATGGTGCAGTGTTCACACTGCCATTGACTGCCATGATCTGGTTGTCTATTTGAGTTACTCCTGCAGGCTGCAATTAACAGATGGCAAAATAGGACTGTCCATGACTAATATGATGCTGTATTATTTTATTATTATGTTATAACCTCACAAATACTCACCTGATATAATTTATTCATCAAAATGTCTTCCAAATCACAACTCGCATTAACAATTTCCAGTACCTCATAGTTATTATTAAGGAAAACATAATTCACATGTGTCATTTCAATAAATAATGATTTTGAAAATTGGATTTGAAAACTTTCAAATTGGAGAGTCATCAATGGTGGAAACAAGCATGTGAATTTTCAGTATTATAGGTCCAGTAGATTCTGAGATGATGTTCACAGAACAAAATTTCACTTTATTTTGAGAGAATTTAAGAGTAAAAAATAGAATGTTCAAATCAAGCTTAAAATATGTGATATCCTGAAAAACAGATCACATGTGTTGAGCCCAACCACTAATTCATTCAAACTTACCAACTGTTTGTTTTGAATTATTTGTGATGGATTCTATGTTTTCTTCAGCTTCAGGCTTAATTGAAGGACTTGACTGTTGGTTCTTTTGTACAACTGCCAAAGAGGTGGTTTCTGTAGAGACAACTTGTGAATCCTGTAGAACCTGTGGCTGTTGGATTTTACCTGGTTGGATAACAGATGATTGGTGCATGTTTTCATCTACATTACTTACGACCTTTGTGCCAATTTGGCTTGCAACAGATGTGTTATGGGTTCTGCCTGTATGCTGGGCCTGATAAACACAAACAGGCTTATTAACACTGGATGTTGGCAAGGTGTTGTTTTCAAGTCTGCTAAAGTCTACATGAGACGGTGGATAATAAACATCTGATGATACCTGGGAGTGCTTATCTGAGTTGGATTCAAGTCTACTTCTATGTTTTTCAAGAATTAGTTTTTCTCTTTTCAATAAACCTTTCTTCTTGTTCAGTGCTAAAAATTCATCTTGCTCATAAAATTTCCCATTCATCTCAATCAAATGATTTAACTGCACTTCAATTTCCTCGATTTCTTCAGTTAGTGAAATGATATGAATTTCACATTTTGCCTTTTGTTTTTCCAAGTTTGATTCTTCTTTAATCTTTGGCAAAAGTTTAGATGTCAATGCTGACTGATCAATTTCAGACATTCTGGCAGATTGCCTTGGCATGCTCAAATTTAGAGGGGATGAACTGATGTTCTCAGAGGGTAAGAACACATGCACTGGTTCACTCTCTTGTAACAACTGCTGCTTCCCTGAAACCAGAGTCTGGGACACTAACATAGGTTTCAGTTTCCTATCTGGTATAGGGGGTGGGTGTTCTTTCATCTGGGGCACTTCATGTGGAGCTGCTGTTGTACAACTTTCTTCAAGTTGACCATAAGCACAACTAGAGCTCTTGGGAGTCAAGATTGAGTCAAGATTGAGAATGTTCTGCAGCATTGATGATGGATTCTGTCCTGCATGTTGCTCAGTCTGGTAAACAAAATAGAGGAGATCAATGAGTATATCAGGAAACAAACTACAGTCAAATCCTGTTAATCCAACATTTTTGGTTGCATATGATTATGTTGGATTAACGAGTATGTCAGATAAATGAAATTAGGTAGTATCAACATTTGTGATCGAAAACTGGACAACTACATGATAGATAACGATTCAAACACATTGTAAGAAAAAAAAGCGGGAAAAGGCAATACAGTAAACTACGGTTATAAGCAACTCAAAGGGACCACAAATTTTAGTTCGTTATAACCGTAGTTTGTTATAAGCATATATACAGCATAATACAGCAGATAGTTGGGACAAAAAAGTAAGTTCGTTGTATCCGTCAGTTCGTTATAAGCGTGTTCGTTAAAAACGTAGTTTACTGTATTCATATTGTCATGTTACATTGTTAGCAGAATATGTTTTCTAATCATGCAATGTCTAAAGTTTAACACAATGTATGACTGATTCAAAATACTTTTAAAGCATAGTCTGGAATGGTAGTTGCCAATTTGAAACTAGTGCTACAATGCTTAAGAAATCTGCTTTCTTAGTGGCTAATGTTAACTTCCTGTTAATAATTTCATTGGTTGGTCAAAGTTCGCGAAAGGTCATTCTGACGTGACCTCTAATGGGATGTCCTCAGCGGTAGCGAGAACTTGAATCCGATTTTAAGAGATTGAGGTAATCTAGGCATGTTTTGTTTATTTAAAGCAGTAATTGTTTATTGTTAAGAAAGTTTATCTCTGCAGCCGTTGAAATATGCAGTTACTCGACGACTCGTCTCGCATCAAAACACGGGGCTGTGTACTCACTGGCAGATGACCACGGAGTACGCCGATCACTGTGTTGGATTAACAAGACTGATTCACGAGTGATTTCTGTAATTCGTTGCAAATTTGGTGTGTCGGAGTCGGAGTGCGAGACTGTCAGATTAACAGGTCTTAATAGCACTGATTATTTGGTTCCCATCATTAGTGTCAGATAAAGCCAATTGTCGGATTAACGAGACTTGACTGTATATGCTCGAGAAGCATTAGCATAAAATTAGCCAGCCCGTAGTCCTAGAAGTTTTGAGTGAGGTCATTCAAATAGCTAAACACAAAACTTACAAATGTCTCATGTTCACACAACACACAAGATTTAACATCTAGACCTTGACTACTAATGTGGATACTTGTAGTACCAACATAGTCATCAGAGTATCATAACAGTTAGGTTATTACTACTGTTATATGTTGTGCCTTGTTAACCTAAGTACTCATGGACTGATGATGTCACCACATACAGTGATGACATAGTGATGACATAGTTAGCAGAATAAAACATAGCCGCCTCCTGTAAGAAACTATGTCTTGTATTAAAACCTCATCTGAAACCATTCGCTCTGCATCATTGATATTACAATACCTGCATTTGAAGTCAAGACAAGTCAGGAAATACTGGGGCACCACTTGAAATGGCTATATTAGTTAACAGTGAAATGTTTGGTACAAATCTTTTTTATTTCCATTTTTGCATGCATAATTGTACACAAGCAACTCAAAATTATTGGGTAATGGTGTTCGAGATATTATTGTGTATTTTACTTATCTAGAGCACTGTGGAATTAAATCAGATAATCAGATTAAAGAGAAGTGTGTATGTGTGTGTGTGTGTTGTTGTTGTTGTTGTTGTTGTTATGTGGTTGTGCATATTGTATTTTGTATATTGTACTGGAAGTTTTATTTGTGATGAATGTAACTGACAGCAATTTATTGAGGCGCTTATCATGATATAACATTTATACTAAGTTTTCATATAATAATTAGATCCACAACAAGTGCTTTTATGAGTTATCATGGTGTAACATTTATACAAAATTTCATATAATTATATGTATTACTTGCTAAACTATAATTATATGAAATTTTGTATAAATGTTACACCATGATAACATGAGACAAAAGTTATGTGTACATAGTTTAATAGATTTAAAGCCTTTAGATAAATACTAACAAGATCTCATTTCTCAGACATACTAATCAATAAGACAAAAATTATGTCTACATAGTCTTATAGATTGCCTTGAACTATTTTATTTAAGTAAATCTGTCATCACCTATATTAGAATAACATTCAGCAATTACTTCAATTTAGACTCATTAAGGATTAGCCCCAATACAAGGTCATCTATAGTGACACCATAATCTCTTTCCAAGCACCCAGTAAATATGTCAGCAGGATTAGTGCCAGTCCAACAGGATTAACAGTATTCCCCTCTGTCTAGCCATTCATTAACCATAAGGCACAGCCCATCGTGTATCAACCAATCATATTCCATTTTATTGTTCTAATTTTTGTTAAATACATACAGAAACCAAATGTTAAGCAGAAGGGGTTTGACGCTCATACCAAGCAGATCTCTCTCTCACAGCCCAGAGGGTTGTACCGACTCTCTGTGGCACCCTCAGCTATTTTCTAAGATATTGTAAATTGCTCATTGTTAATTGTTTTTGTAAATAAAATTGTGATTAGCCTCCTGTGACTCCGGCTCTTTGCTGACTGATTCCCCCAAGAAAACCAGCACGCCATTTGGAAGGTTTTGTTCATCCCATAACAGTCCATAATAGTATATTGCACATATACAAAACTGAATTTTGGAAAGACTCATTTTGCCATTAATATACTGGCTTTGATAAAACATACCTGGTTGCAGTATTCAACAGTCACACAATATATACCCTTGATTGAGTCCATGTAAGTAAACACAAATTAGTAAGTCCCCATGAGATATCTTGTACACAGTGTCCATCTTGTAGGTGCCCGTGAGGCGGTTTCTGTATTGTGCAGGGTCTGCATGAAGATGGCTGTGGTCGGGTCTCTGTAGGATAGGCGTGTATACTTCTTTTCTTAGGTCATGTGCAGGAACGACATCTTGAAGCGGAAGTCTTAGCAGTGTTGCTAAGATATTCGAGCAGGAAAGGTTTGGGATTGGAGAACTTGTTCTTGATCAGTAGTAGTATAGGTAATGATGGTTCTGGCTCACTTCCACTGGAGCAGGATTTATATACCTATACCACCACTACAGGAGTAATTTTTTATGCCAAAATGATTATGCGATTCAACGAGTCATGAGATTCAGCTAAATTGGCTCCAGCTCACCACCACCTGGAGTCAATGATATAAATTTTTATAGGTAATAGGGGTTCTGACTCACTTCCACTGGAGCTGGATTTATATTAAACGAAATATCAATATTAATTAATAATGAATAAAATTTACTATAGCCCACGAGGATATTGGAAAGGTGTAGGAGCAATATAAAAATTAGCCACCGTGGCTAAGGTATCTAAAGATGTGGCCAAGGATTGGTTAAAGAAACAAGCGATGTGGCAGATATATTTACTGGCACCGCGTTATATACCGAGGAAGAAGTTTGATATTTTTACGACGAATGAAGTTCATCAGGCTGACCTCTTGTTTCTTCCCCACGATAAGGTAAAACGCAAAACGTATAAATACGCTTTAACGGTAGTGGATGTGGCTAGTCGATACAAAGAGGCTGAGCCATTAACCTCGAAAGAATCAACAGAGGTAGCTAATGCACTGAGCCACATATATAAACGCGGACCACTAAAATGGCCTAAGCTATTTCAAGTAGATCCCGGTCGCGAGGTTTATGGGATCGGTAACTAAACTGTTAACAAAGAACGATGTCGAAATCGTCCGTGGTGAAAGAGAGGCCCACCGCAGTCAAGCTATCGTCGAAAGATTTAACAGGACATTAGCGGAACGTTTGTTTGGCTATCAGTATGGGATCGAAATGAAATCCGAGCGATTGAGATCAACCGAATGGGTGACACGATTATCAGCCGTTGTATCAGCGCTGAATAATAAAGTAACAAGATTAATAGGGAAGAAACCATCCGATGCTATTAAAATGAAATCAGTGACTTCCGAATCTTCAGCACCGAGGAGAGGCAAAGAACGAAAACTTCCGGATAGAGTAAGCGTAAGATATTTATACCAGGCCGGTGAACTCGAAGGAGGCCTACATCGCGCAACAGATCCCATATGGTCCCTTAAGACGTATAACATTAGTCGATTGGTTACGAAAGAAGGAGAGCCTATTCTTTATTATCTTCAAGATGGACCGGGTAGGGCATTTGTACGAGAAGAGTTGTTCATAGTTCCTGACGGTACGGTATTACCACCATAACCATAAGCATAGGTATTTACACCATCATTATCAATCCATCTCTTTGTATCTAAGGGGGATAATGATGTCTTGTTCATTCTTAATCCATATATCCTATGATTGTAACTTCTTAAAGAGTTCATCTTGTGTTTGAACGTTCTACCGTTGAATAATGATTCTTTATACTGTTCGTGTTTGATATGCTTTTTTACAACATACTTCTTAACGCCCTTAGCTTTTCTTATCTCTCCATTATCGGACTTCTTTATAGAATACATCTTAGGTCTTAATCCTACATACTCCGCTATAGGGGTCCCAGCACATTCATCCTTCATCTTACCTAACACCTTTTTATTTACAACGCTGTGCAGTGGATTATCTTTTGGGTAATCGCTCGTGTCGTACATATCTATTTTTTCTGCCATATCTTTATACACATCCTCGGTTTGTATTTCCATCAACAAAGAATCTGTGTCGGTGTATAACACCTCGCATCTATCGCCGTATTGCTTCTTAAGTTCGTTGTAATAAAAGTCATACATTAAATGTTTTGACAAGTCGAGAATACTCATACCGACGTACACCGGTCTGTTGAATTTTATATTACTCTTCTGCATATGCAACGCGGCTAAGTCATTATCGAATATCTTGCTTCTGTTAAAAGCCGGACTGGCTATAAGTTTCCTGAGTCTTTCTTCCTCATTAGATCTGACTAATTTAACATCAACACGCTTCCTTAGATTCTCCATAGTTTTACCAAATACTGAGTTATTCATGAGCTTATACAGATTCTTTTCGAAATCGCTGG